CACAGCGGCCGCGGTCAGGCGCTCAGCCTCTTCGTGGGACACGTGCAGCACATGCTGACGGAGGCCAGCGTCCCCCACACGCTGCTCATCACCGGTCAGTGGGCCGGCCTTCTCACACCTGTTGCTACCATGGACTGTACCACAGGGGGGCTGGACGGGGGGTGGGTGTGGGGCATCCTGTTATCATCCCCTTTCCTGTTGGCTGCATTCCTCAGGCGGGGTTTTTATGGGAAGCGCTCGTATAATAAATCAGACCGATGCCAGGTTCCTCGCCCAAGCTGTAGATTATGGTTGGCACACTGCTGGAGCGTGGGAGACGGTGGATGCGGGACGGGGGGGGCGGCGCTCGCCGCGGTTAGCGGTCAGCCTGGTCTGTCTCACTTCCCATGACCCCTGCTTGCCCACCCCCACCATTGGGGCGTCTCTGTCATGTCCAGTCATTCAACAGAATGCAAGAAGAGCAGTTAGTGGGGTCCGGGAAGCGCCGGGGCTTCTCGAATTTCGGCGCTGGCTGCGGCCCACGTTCCCTGGGCTGTGTGCTGTCGGCCAGCCGTAACGCGCTCCTTCCCCTTTAAGATGCTCTCCAGAGGCCTCCCAGCTGCTTTCGCGGTCGCTAAGTGTTCTCGACATGGCGGGATCACTCTGTGCCGGCTTCTGCGTGGGACACGGCCCGGGGGAGCTGGGAGGCGACATCTGGGCTGCTGTGTTATCCGGTAGCGGGACACGGCGAGCTCTGTGGCTGCCGGGCTCTGAGGAACGCGGCGGTTTCGTCATCCGGATCCAGGGCCCATGGGGCAGCAGTGCGCTGCCCATCGCTGATTTCCAGCAACCCATTTTGGTCCCTTTTCGCTCATGACATTTAAAGGGCCACACCCCCATTTGGCTGGCTAGTCAAAAATCCTTTGTCCCAAAGCTTCATGGGAGCTAAAAGTAATTTAGGAACTTACAGTATGTCATGAATTGGGCTTTATGAATACCTGGTGAAGTGAGAGTGGCTGATTAGAGTCCTCTGGCTTGGATCAGGGCTATTTATATAAGAACAGGTGGAGTGGACCCAACTATTCAGGCTGAGCTTGTGTTTATATGCTGCTACATGCTGTTTTGTTGGACGTCACATATCTTTCACTCAGTATTTTCAACAATGTCTTTCTACACAGCGGCTGAGCGCCTGGGGCTAATGCTGCGATTAGGTTATTAAATGGCTCTCTTGACTGTAAATAGACAAGCCATCCACCCCAACAATCTTCTTTGTTCATTTTTTTTTTTTTTAATGTTTCCAGCTTAGCATTGGTCAACGGTTTTCACAATTAGCGGTTGTTGTGCCACTGCCGCCGGTGCTTCTGCTGTGCTGGTGAGGAAGGAAGCGTGCCGCCATTGCGGTTCTGCGTGTGCCCCGAAAAGGGAAGACTCTTCTGACAGTGCAAATAGCTTCTTTTTTTTTTCCCTGCTCCCTAAACCCGCCAAAATACAGCCGCACTTCAGAAGGCATTTCATAGCCAGTATGCATGAACGCCCAATGCGGGCACCTCCGTTAAGTCAGCCGCGACCCACACCGCTTATGACTGTTACTTAGTGAAAACGCTGATGGACATTTATCGATATCACATGCGTTATTGATGACTGTCTAATATAACTCCAGCCGCTAGACCTTCTTTGAGACTCATCTTTTGAAGAGAAGTTATTAACTGGCAATTCACTGACAGCTGAAGCACCTTGCAAGGTGTCTCCCCATCCAGAGGATTTTTTCAGTGGAACTAATAGAAGCCAAGGTTGGGTAGTGAGCAGCCGGGCCCACAGCTGCTGGAAGGTGTGTTGTGGGGGTGGGGTATAGTGCATTGTCATGGGGGGTGAGTGGGGAGTCAAGGTCTGGGTATCGCTGGGTATCGCTGGGTATCGTTGGTACGGCGCTACGGCAGAGGTCCAGAAAGAGTGCCAGCCCTTCCCTGGCCTCGAGACCCCACTCTCTGAGGTCTCCAGCCCCACAGAGGACAGGAATGCGGCATCCCCATAAAGACTTCCCGTTCTGCAAATGATTTTGATTCCTTCTGCTGCCTCTGATCTGAGGCTTTATTAATTGCAGTTCATTTTGTTTTTGTAATGAGCTTGTAACAGCTTCCCCCCGCAAGTCCCTCAGCAAGTGAGCAGCACCAGCTCTTCACTCCACCAGCCACTCTAACCTTCTCTTTGCACTTTTTGTTATCGGCCACATTACATTCCTGCTGCTATATCGTCTCGTGCAGTGTTAATGTACACTTTACCCCTGTAATTGTGAACATACAGCCCCCCCCCGTGTCTTATGTTGCATCGTGGACTGGGCTGAACGACGTACCACTGTATACTTGTGCATGGGTTATAGGTGCAAATGTGCTCTAACTCACCACATTCAAACTTGAGCTGTGTGAAGTATTACAGGAACATACCACTTATCCAGGTTGGTTGGGGAGAGCTTGTGTATAATCTGGAGCTTTATAATAAGAAGCTTTCCTTCCAGAGGGGTCATGTGACTTGTCTGTGTAAAATAAGCCAAGGAAGCGTCACAGGAGCGGAGCAGATGTCGGAGGGACATGTAGGCGAGCCGGTCCGCTATGCGCGGCTTGTGATGGGCTGCCCACCTCTCACTGCACCTCTCACTGCACCTCTCACTGCACCTCTCACTGCAACGCTTCTCGCCCAACAGAGCGGCAGAACCACGCCCGCGATCTGGTGAGGGAGGCAGACCTGTCTCAGTGGGATGCCCTGGTCATCATGTCAGGGGACGGACTGCTCTTTGAGGTGGGTGACAGACCGTGGCGAGCTCAGGAATCTCACTGCTATCTCGAGGCTCCCTGTGGGCACAGTGGCACAGCCCGGTGGGTGGGGACATGGACCCCTGGGGCCAGAGCTGTCCATACAGGTGCCAGGAGAATCATGTTATGTCTTATTTGGGAGAGAAAATGTTTTATAATAGTCTGTGCAGCACTAATGCGACGAAGTGGCTGCTCTGCTGCGTGTGTCTGCGTTCAGACCCTGCGTCTGCTCCTCCTAGGTGGTGAACGGACTGATGGAGCGGGAGGACTGGGAGCAGGCCATCCAGATTCCACTGGGGGTTCTGCCCGGTGGCTCGGGGAACGCTCTGGCTGCCTCCATCCTCCACTACTCCGGGTGAGACCCCCCCCCCCGGTCCGTTAAAGAACAATGACATACACTGCAGGATCTATACACTCTGCTGCGGCGGGAATGATATATGAATGTGCTTCATTCAGCCTCACAGTAGGGACCCCAGAATTCTAGCAAAGTTCTGATGCATGAAGTCCCTACATTATCAGAGGGTATGTGACAGACAAAAGGACGAATGAGTTTAGCTGTAGAATGACAGAAAGAAGGGGGGCTGAATCAGATGCAGGACAAGCATGTGAGCGGGGAAAAACGGGGCCATTGAGGCAGCCTTGCACTGTCAGCTTTTGTAAGCTTCCCTTTCTTGTGTTGCTGCTCCCTGTTTACAATAAGAGCTCCTCCTACTGGAGGTTTACATACATGACACCTCGATTTGAGGTGATGTCAGAGATGCCGGTCCTCTGCCGCCTGTCAAACATTTTTGCCGTGTGGCGAGCGCTCAGAGACGGGCAGTGGTGGCGTGCCCCCCCCCGCCCCCTCCTGCCCGGCCGCTGATGCCTTCTGCGTGCCCTTGCCAGGTCCCAGCCGGTGTCTAGCGAGGAGCTGCTGGTGAGCTGCGGCTTCCTGCTGTGCCGGGGCCTGCCGTCGCCCCTGGACCTGGTTTCTGTGAGCCTGGCCTCGGGCACGCGCCTCTTTTCCTTCCTCTCCCTCGCCTGGGGCTTTGTGGCCGACGTGGACATCGAGAGCGAGAAGTACCGCTACGTTGGCACGGCACGCTTCACCGTGGGGACGCTGGTGCGGCTGGCCTCCCTGCGTGTCTACGAGGGCCGGCTGGCCTACCTGCCCGTCGAGGAGTGCCCAGCCCCGTGCCAGGCCTCCCCGCCCCCCCACGGCCTCGGGATCTGCTCCTCCTTCTTCTGCCACCCACCCGCGGGCTCGTCCGACCCGACCGCTACGCACACCTTCCACAACTCCTGCAACTCCAACAACTCGACGAAGGCCGAAGTTCCATCTTCATCCTCCAGGGGGCCCCCTGACTCCCTCCTGGTGCCACTAGAGCAGCCAGTGCCCAGCAACTGGACTGTAGTGAAGGAGGAGAACTTTGTGCTGGTGCTGGCCATGTACCAGTCTCACCTGGCCGAGGACTTCATGGCCGCGCCCGAGGCGGCTGCTGACGACGGCCTCATACACCTCTACTACGTCCGAGCGGGAATCTCCCGGGCTGCCCTGCTGCGCCTCTTCCTGGCCATGGAGAAGGGTGCCCACCTGTCCGCCGGCTGCCCCCACCTGGTCTACAGCAAGGTGCGGGCGCTGCGCTTGGAGCCTCTCTCCCCCAAAGGCGTCATCACAGTGGATGGAGAGGTGGTTGAGTATGGGCCCCTGCAGGCACAAGTGCACCGTGGCCTGGCACGTCTGATCATGGGCTAGGGGGTTATTGACGGAGTGGGAAGGGGGGGCCCTGCACTCACAATCCAGACGGTCCCGTGGCTCCTCGATGGCGTAACAGTCTGACCGAACATGTCCGGGATCGTAACTGAAACTTCTGATTCGGGTCGGGGTGTGGTGGGGTCAGGACTTCCCCACCCTTAATGGCAACACGCATCCTGTGATGCTTTTCCAGCCAAGTCGGCCCACATGCCACCAGATGCCGGTACCAGGCATGGGGGCTGTTTGCTGAATCAGGTGTGATCCCCGCCAGCTGCTCCTCTGTAGCTCCTAGACACCACGTTATTTAAACCATCGTTATAAAGTCTGTTTTTCGTAATACTGTTATACAATATGGCTGTGGGGAAGACATCAGCCCCGAGGGCTAAGAGCAGCTGCTCTCCAGTGTGCAGAGGGGGTGACCTCACTGTCTCCGCTGTTGGACGCTGTGCATCATGAAGGAAGCGGTGGTTGGGGGGGGAGGGGCCATGTTGACAGCCATGAAGGGCTGTCATTCTGCAGTAGCTAAACTGCACCCCCCCCAGATCAATACCATTTCTTTCTATGTGGGGGAGGGGGGTCACCAGGCCAGTCAACAGAATCTACGTCTAATCTTCCTCTGCACATTTTTGATAGATATTGAAAGTGCCCCCATCTC